CCCTTCATCAGAAAAGCTTTTCTGATGAAGGGTCTAGGCCCGAAACGTCAGCCTCTCTGCTCCTATGATGTTGCTTGGCCTGCCGTGTTCATCCAGCCCTGCACCTTGTTGTCTAGTATTCCATCACACTCCTGACTGTGCCTTGTAGATGATGGACAGGCTTTGGGGAGTTGCAAAGTGAGTTAATCGCCACAGGATTCCTATCCTCTGACCTGTTCTTGAAGCCACTGTGTTTATGTGGTGAGTCCAGTTGAGTCTCTGGTCAATGGAAACTCCCAGGATGTTGATAGTAGGGAATTCATTGATGGTTGCACACTGAATGTCAAGGGGCGGTGGTTAGATTGTCTCTTATTGCTGATGGTCATAGCCTGGCATTTATGTGATGCAAATGTCACTTGCTACCTGCCAGCCCAAGACTGGGTATTGTCCAGATCTTGTTGCATTGGAACATGGACTGCTTCAGTATCTGAGGAGACACAAATGGTGCTGAATATTGTGCAATCATCGGCAAACATCCCTACTTCTGACCTTATGATGCAGGGAAGGTCATTGATGAAGCAGCTGAAGATGGTTGGGTCTAGGACACTACCCTGAGGAACTCCTGCAGAGATGTGCTGGAGCTGAGATGACTGACCCCCAACAACCACAACAATCTTCCTATGAGCCAGGTATGACTCCAACCAGCACAGAACTTGCCCCTGATATCCATTGATTCCTGTTTTGCTAGGGTTCCTTGTCAAGGGCTGTCACTCTCACCTCACCTCTGGAATTCTGGTCTTTTGTCCATGTTTGAACCAAGGCTGTAATGAGGTCAGGAGTTTAAAGGCCCTGGCGGAACCCAAACTGGACGTCACGGAGCAGGTTAGTGCTGAGCAGGTACTGCTTGGTAGCACTTTTGATGACATCTTCCATCACTTTAATGACAATTGACAATCGACTGATGGGGCAGTAATTGGCCGGGTTGGATTTGTCCTGCTTTTTACGTACAGGACAAAGCTGCGCAATTTTCCACATTGTGGGGTCGATACCAGGGTTGTAACTGTACTGGAACAGCTTGGCTAGGGGAGCGGCAAGTTCTAGAGCACAAGTCTTCAGTACTATTGCCGGTATGTTGTCAGGGCCCGTAGCTTTTGTAGAATCCAGTAACTTCAACCATTTCTTGATATCACGTGGAGTGAATCGAATTGGCTAAAGACAGGTATTTTTGATGCTGGGGACCACTGGAGAAGGCAGAGATGGATCATCCACTCGGCACTTCTGGCTGAAGATTGCTGCGCAAGTTTCTTCCTTATCTTTTGCATTGATGTACAATGCTCTCCCATCACTGAGGATGGGGATATTTGTGGAGCCTCCTTCTCCAGTGAGTTGTTTAATTGTCCACCACCATTCACAACTGGATGTGACAGGACTGCAGAGCTTAGATCTGATCCATGGGATCACTTAGCTCTGTCTATCACTTGGTGTTAATGCCATTTAGCATGCAAGTAATCCCATCTGGTAACTTCACCAGGTTGATATTTCATCTTCAGGTATGCCTGGTACTGCTCCTGGCATGCCCTCCTGCACTCTCCATTGAACTAAGGTTAATCCCCTGGCTTGAGTGGGGGATATGCTGGGCCATGAGGTTACAGATTGTGCTAGAGTACAATTCTGCTGCTGTTGATGACCCACAGTGCCTCAAGGATGTCCATCTTGACTTGCTAGATCTGTTCACAGTCTGGCCCATTTAGTACAGTGATAGTGGCACTCAACATGATGGAGGGTATTCTCAACGTGAAGGCAGAACTTTGTCTCCACAAGGACTGTGCGATGGTCACTCTTACCGATACTGTCAAGGACAAATGCATCTGCAGCTGGCAGATTGGTAAGGATGAGGTCAAGTATGTTTTTCCCTCACCACCTGCCGTAGACCCAGTCTAGCAGCTACATCCTTTAAGGTTCAACCAACTCAATCAGTAGTGCTGCTGCCGAGCCACTCTTGGTGGTGGACATTGAAATCCCCCACCCAGAGTACATTTTGAACCCTTGCCATCCTCAGTGCTTCCCCCAGATGTTGTTCAACATGGAGGGAGTACTGATTTATCAGCTGAGGGAGGACGGTACATGGCAACCAGTGCCCATATTTAATCTGAAGGCACAGGACTTCATGGGGTCCGGAGTCAATGTTGAGTATTCCCAGGTCAACTCTATCCCAATTGTATACCACTATGCCGCCACCTCTGCTGGGTCTGTCCTGCCGATGGGACAGGACATATCCAGGGTGATGGTAAAACGTATGATTCCATAAATATAACTATGTTAGGCCTGACAAGTCTGTGAGACAGCACCAGCCCCTCAGATGTTAGTAAGGAGGACTTTGCAGGGTTGACAAGCCTGTTTCTGCCGTTGTCTTTTCTGGTGCCTAGTTCGAAGGCTGGTGCTCCGTCTGGTTTCATTTCTTTGTTTAGACTTCATAGCTTTTTAAAATTTATTCAAGGGATGTCGGTATCACTAGCTGGACCAGCATTTATTGCCCATTTCTAATTACCCAGAGGTCAATTAAGAGTCAGCCACATTGCTGTGGGTCTGGAGTCACATGTAGGCCAGACCAGGTAAGGATGGCAGATTTCCTTCCCCGAATGTCATTAGAGAGCCGGATGGGTTTTTCTGACAATTGACAATGGTCATCAGTAGATTCCAGATTTTTTTAAAAATTGAATTCAAATTTAACCATCTGCTGTGGCAGGATTCGAGCCTGGGTTCCCGGGATATTAGCCGAGTTTCTGAATTTATAGTCTAGCAATAATAGCATGCAGTATTATCCTTTTCTTTTTAGTTTTTGTGTTAATTTTTCATGATGTTGGGTTGGGATTCCACGGTACTAATTCAGCAACAAAGAAAGAACAGCATCATATTGATTAAACTGAGCAAGTTAATACAGTACAGGGAGAACGGATTGTAAATAATATAGTGATGTACTATAAGCCTAAACATTTGGAGAACATTATTGAAATGAACGTGTGTGTATAGTATGAAACGATGGTTAGACTTAGTCACAGTTCTTCAATGCTTTGAAACACATGTATGCAGGCAAAGTGCCAGCTGTGTTTGTGATAGCACCTATGACCAAGTCTGAAGATTGTTGTTCGAACCTCACTCTGCAGCTTTGAACTGAGTCCATGCCTGCACTTCACTACAGTCCTACTCTACACTCTTACTTCATCTGCTTTCTGGGTCAGCCATAAAAGATCCTAAAACCCTATTGAAAAGAGGAGGCAAGGAGTTCTCTCATCTTCCTGTCCAACATTTATCCCTCAATAAAGGCCTAAAACATTACCTTATTTAGTTTGCTGGTCAGTTATTTATTGCACTATTGTTTTCAATGGGAGCTTGCTGTGCACATATTGCTTGCTGCATTTCTTACATAACAGCAATGGCTACATTTTGAAAGGACTTCATTGGTTGTGATATAATAACCTTTTCGGCATCAAGTGTTGATGCCTGCTTACCTGAACTTGCTCTTTGAGCTTGAGGATGAATTTTCCTGCTCCTTTCCACCTGCTCTGAGCTACAAACACACTCTCATTCTCAGAAAGGATTCGAAGAGCAGGTTTTGCCATTGACGATTTCTTGTTTAATGGCTCTTTGGTGACTTCCTCAACAAGGACATAATCACTGGGATTTGGGTTGCTCAGGATGCTGTAGGAATACTTGGCTTTACTTAATGCCTGTGGAGTAATCAAACCAATTTGTGGTAATTCACAGTGCAGTTAACACTGAATAGATGTTCCATGTTGTTGGCATGCTTAAACCTAAACAGATTCCACTTCACTTTCCAATCTATACTGATCTACCGTACGTGCCCTTGAACAAATCCAACCCATGCTCACATGACAATTATATTTGACAAGGTAATGGTAATTATACTTCAAAGTTTATGCACTGATGAACAGAACTGAATTAATGAATGAATATAACTTTGGCACACTGTAGTTGGCAATCCCAGCACTTTTATCTTTAAAGAGTAACACTATCCTCTTCACTTGTTAGAGCCATGCTATTTACTCATTTATCGGCATTCAACATATTTACTATTGGATTCTGCTGGCAATCTAGTTGTGAGAAATACATATTACCCTTGGAATCAATGGTAACGTTACTGAGCAACGAAGCCTGAAGACCAGGCCGATGTTTTTGCAACATGGCTTTAAGCACGACGTGGTAAAACAAGAATCCACTAAATTCTGGAATTAAAAACTAGCCTCATGGAGATCCTGTAACCACTGTTGACTGGGTATAATTTGACAAACCTGTAGTATGATATCCTGGGCTGTGCTGAACTTTGACGCTCTGATGACAGTCCGTGGCTGCTCTGGGGACACATCATGCACCTGAACCAAGAAACTGTCAGCTTCTGTTGGAAGGTTATTGCAGCTCAAATCGTCACGTTCCTCGTACATGGTGTTCCTTTGGTTCAGCTCCTGCAACAGATGCTGATTGTCAGTAGGCTTTCTGATGCACATTGTTACCCCACAGATTGTGAATCACCCACAAAGGCAGCTTCTCTCAGTTTTGACACGCAAGAGGGAAGATCCCACCAACCCACGTTCTCATCCAAACCAAAGCCGCTTTCCAAAGTGACTCTCATCAGAAATGTCCTCAACTAGCTTCTGATGAAGGGTCTAGACCCGAAACGATGGCTTTCCTGCTCCTCTGATGCTGCTTGGCCTGCTGTGTTCATCCAGCTCTACACCTTGTTATCTCAGATTCTCCAGCATCTGCAGTTCCTCCTATCTCTAGCTTCCAGTGTGTTCTTTTTTTTAAAAAAAATACCTCTGACATTCAGGTTTATTTCATTCCGAGCCTTGTCGCTGCATCTGTCTGTGTGTGTCTGTATGTGTGTGTGCGCCTGTGTATACTCTTATGTCTCTGGGCAATTCAATTGGATTTTAAGCTGGATAGTGGTGGCCAATGCCTGGATCATTTCTGGATCCTGACCCTGCCATATGGTTTTAACATGCACAGCCCTATTTAGCCAGTGAAAAGCTTGGCACTTGATTACCAGTAACTGGAGTGGCTGTGAAGCAGGAACTGGATCCGCGATGCAATATCCAATGACAAACAGCAGTTATGACTGTACTTGCCCATTGCCTTGTAGACTGGAGCAGGTGAGAGAGCAGACAGTGTGTTGGTTGAACATGAAGTTTTAAATTCTTCTGTCTCAAGGTGACTCATTCTGAAATGACGACCTCAACTAAATTGCCCGCCAATGACCATCAGTTACTGGGATTGAAGGAGTGAAAAGCAGCTGGAATCGGGCCAGATTTTCAAGGGGTCACCGTTTATGGTCCCACAGAGGAGTTGTGAACCCTACTGTGCATAAAGGAACCTTTTCATTGGGTATAAGCCAATATACTTGTCCAAACCCCCCTCCCAATGTCCTGTCATACCCTCCATATTAATCTATAGCATTTTTATATCAGTATATACGCTGTTTCTGAATATTTCTGAAGAAGGGTCCAGACCCGAAACATCAACTTTCCTGCTCCTCCGATGCTGCCTGGCCTGCTGTGTTCCTCCAGCACCATACTGTGTTATCTCTGACTCCAGCATCGGCAGTTCCCACTACCTCTATACATTGTATCAAACCACTAAAGCTGATTGTAATACTTACATGGAAAAGCTTTATAAACGTAATTCATTTATTTCTAACTTTTTTAAAGAGATCTGTTTTTATTATAGCCCTATAAAAGTGCCGACCTTTAAACTATCAATAGCAGAACCTACACGCACTTGACATATCTTTATCTTGTTTAAGTTAATACTGTGCAATTGACAATACGGAAACACAAAGAAAGGGACATCGATCAAGCAATGCTTTCTTTTGGATGCAGCTGTTTCAGCCAACAAATGGATACCCAAGCTCTCAGCCATAAATACATAATACACACCCCATCTCAGCAACTCCTGTGGCTACCTTCAAATTGTTTCCAGGTTGATAGATGTAGCTCCAGTGAGTATCCTCGCCAAACCCCTATCTTCCAAAATGAACAACCACCCCTCTACAGACACATTCTTCCATGCAAACCTGGGAAATTACTGAACTCCCACGACCAGTCACTAAAATCCAGCCCTACGCGTCAGGGAGAGAAATGTGCATTTTGGTTCCAGGAAGAGCCAAGCCTTTCTTTATGATGAAATAATATTCTAATGAACTGGCGAACTCATACAGGTATTTCTGCTGTAATGCATTCTTCGTTAACGCAAATTGGCGGTAATGTGATTGATGAATAGTGGACACTATTTGATTAACGCTGACTTTCAGCTGTACAGGCACAGCAATTTTCTATAGCGATTTGCTATAGCACAAGGTCACACAAGAACGCATCAATCATTTTACAGGAGAACTACCCGTATTATATTTTTATCCAGGGTTTCTAAATGGATCAATAGCATTAGATGCACATTGTGATATTAAACTGGTAAATGCTGCTTATAGGTATCAATGGATATTCAAAATTATCCGAATGGGCAGAACAAAACCACAAGTGGATATTTGTGAATGCAAAAAGGAGGAATTTGTTGGTGGCAGTGTTCCCCTGGTCAGCTCAAGGTGTTACAAGGGTAGACAAAAGAAAAACAGAATAATTAACATCATGTTTCATAAAACAGTGATGATAAGAGAAAGAAAAATCACTTAAGAAAAATTGAAATACCTCCTCTTTGCTTTTGAAGACAATTTTTCCGACCAGTCCTTCCTCTGGGAACCAACACTGTGGAATTTTCAGGATCTCTTCCTCTGGACTAATGACCCTCTGGAGTGGCTGTTTCTTACACTCATTCTTGTCTTTGGAAAGAGAGTTTTTCTCTTCCACAAGGAAGTAGTCGGCAGTGTCTGCCTCTGAGCCACCCAAAATGCCTACAATCTGGAAGGATCAATTACAGTAATTGAATTCCCTTAAGAAAAATGGCTTTGAATAACAATAAAAAAGTCCTTAATCCAGTTTTGATCTGCAAGTGAATACCGTTAGAAACCAATGTTCAGTTTAGCTAGTTTCCTGTTTACCTGCCCTTTTGGATGCTAATCATTCATTATGTTCAAATCTTGTTAGGCTGTCTTTGATGCTCCAGGTCTAATTGTCAATTTGTTCCCAATTGGCCACAGCTCTGAGCTTACACAGGACAAATCTATATAGACAGACAGTTAAAGGGTAAAGAACCATGGCTCAGAAATTCACAGAAAATGGCTCCTCCATGTTACTATAACGGTTCCAGTTTCTAAAAACATTTGGGAAAATTGCACTGGTTGTATTCAGTTTAACACACCAAGTTTTTGGCCCCTTGACTTGTTGGATCACTTCCATTGGTTTCCTTTTTTCCCATGGGGTTATTTCGAACACAGCTTTGCATCTGCTAGTGTTTTACAATAAAAACTCAAAACATGTTTCCTTAGATATCACTCTTTTAGATTTGTCCAGTATTCTCCAAAATACCGTGTCCCAGTAGATGCAATTTTTGTACATTTGAGGAATTCAGCATCAAATTGCTTGTGACTCTGTCCCATTTGGCATTTTATAAATCAGATCCAAAGCAACTGTACATTGCATCTCATGTTTAACTGATATCTGCAAATTCTCCTCCGTTTATCTGAATATCTTCCAAGTTTCAAGATATTACCAAGGTGGGACTGAAAATGCATGGTAGGTTACAAATAACATCGCCCTTTGCTCTTTGAGTTGAGCACAGGCCAGGCAGCTGAGAAGCTGACTTTTCTCTCCCTGCCAGCTTTAACACAATGAGCTTGGTCAAGCATAAAACAATCCACAAACCAGCTCAGTGGTGGACAGTGATCCGAAAACAATGCGGACCCTCTCAGAGACCGCAGCTAAAGTACGTTTGGGTCAGAGAGGGGTCTCCATTCTGTACCTAATCATGTTACTTCTGGCTCAGGAATAGTTAGTTAATGATTGCACTGGATGGCCAGTGTACCCTATTCCCCAGCAACAAAATTCCACAAAGCAAACAGACTGTCGGGAAAGACTGGTGGCTAACATAACAGAGAATCCCAAAGTCTTCTCAAAGGTGTATAAATGGTAAGATATGAAGGCAGGGGGTGGATGGAGGAAGGGGGAGGGCAAGACTACTGTATGAAAGGTGTACTTTTTTAAAAAAAAACTTATTCAGGGGATGCGGACTTCACAGACTGGGTCAGCAATTATTGCATAGCCTCCACGCCCCTTGAGTAGGTGGTGATGAGCTGCCTTCTTAAACTGCTGTAGTCCATTTGATGTAGGTAGGCCCACAATGCTGGTAGCGGGGGGAGATCCATATGCTTTTATCAGAAGTAGATGCTGTTGAATGCAGAGTGAAAGAAGAGGTGGTTGAGACACTGGCCAAAATTTAATAGATAGATGGAGTGTTCTTACAGCTTATAATTCCCCAGGACCGGATGGAAAGTGGTCCTGTATAAAACACTGGTCCAGCCTCAACTGAGGTATTGTGCCCAGATCTGGGTAACACACTTCAGGAAAGTTGAGACGGCATCAAAGAGTGAGTAGAGATTTCGAAGAAGTGTTCAAACTCATGAGGGACAGACTTGATCTGGGAAGGAACCATTCACACTGGTAGAAGAATCCAGAATCAGCTGATTTCAGATGATTGGCTAAAGGAGCAGTATTATTTTGATGAAAAGCTCAATGTGTGACTGGGGTCTGGAATACACTGCCGGAGTGCGCGGTGGAGGCAGATTCAATCGGAGTTCGCAAAACAAATTAGACAACGATCTGCAGAGAAGAATATGACAGGATTACATGGGGAGAGTGGGCAGTGGGACCGCAGAAAGTGAGCACAGACACGATGGGCCAAATGCTGTGACCACTCAATGATAATGTAACATAACGGAAAAGAGCAAAATCCTGCTTTAATTTCAGGGGGCTATTTTTGTTTAAATTCCTAAATAGATAGAATAGTACATCTTATATTGTCACATGTACTCAAGAACAGAAGTACATGGAGTACAGTGAAAAGTTTACAATGCCACCCCAAATGGCACCACCTTAGGTACAGAGTGTCAAGGTACAGATCTTAGATACTACATACAGAAACAAAAAGGGAAAAAGAAAGAAAAAAATTACTTACAGTTGTTCATATTATAAGTTAGAAAAAAAAAGAAAAC